GAAAGTTGATAAATTGTCCAAGCCTACCTGTATCAATGTTTTCCCGACTTTTTGAGAAACTGGACATTGTAAATGGAACATCAAAATCAACTTCTGTACATTTGTTGACAGTCTAGAAATACAAAGAGGTTCTTTAACTACTCTGTTCAATACAGCTTTGATACCCATGCAATATACATATATATTGCATATAACAATGCAACACATACAGTATCCAATATCTACTTTAAAAAGCCACAGTAATTGTCTTTTGATGTATAGTGTTTAATATATCAAATGCTTCTGCTACCCAAACAAAGCAAAAATTTTAATTATGTATTTCCCCTAGTAAGATGGACCTAAGCTATAAATTACATAACAAAAGCTTCATAGATATTCTAGAATAGTAATATTTCAATAGTATATGGTTTCCTTCAATCTCCTTCAATCAATTTGAGATCTTCATTAAATCAAATTTCACAGCCTGCGTTTTGTGTCTTGGCTACAGCAGAAATTTTCTGCAATGTGTAAAATTAAAATATTAACTGCATCATCCTTATTTCAATATAAAAATACCACTTCAGAAATTTAAATAATAGTGTTTCGCCTGAGAAATCTGCTGTAATTTTTTTCAATTAGAATTTTACTAAATAAGTTAATTTCCCTTTTACCCTATCTACCAGAAGCTCAGTCACAATATTAATTACTACCAACATATATCAGTTTGTCCAAAAATCTTTTCCTAATCATCTCATATTTTTCCTCATAAATTGTCTCAAATCCTGAGAGATATTTTCTTCAGTGGTAAGGCTACTAGTTAAGTGTTCATGTTGCAGTAAGCATCTCTAATGCAAAACATTGAATCACACACACACACACAGACAAGAAATATGAAAGTAGAAGGGGGACTAGTTGGGAAGAATAAAAGAATTAGTGGGGGAGGAATCAGACGGTAATGGGAGGCTTGTAAATATTCTTTTCAACATCACTTTGCTATTCAACAGTACTTATATACAAATACATTATATATATTATATACATATTATAATATATATGTATATTATAAACCCTTTGATGTCCATGCAGTATTTAAAGTATAATATACATACATGGAAATATCATACTCATTATTACCTACAATTACTACTAAAAAAAACATTAAAAATAGTTTCAAATCATTTCACCAGAGAATAAGCAAATTCTATCTACGCAGAATTCTACAGCATCAATTCTTTTAAAGATTTTAAGGTGTAGGTATAGGTGTGTAGGTGTAGGGGTGGGTGTGTGGGTGTGGGTGTGTGTGTGTCTCGCCAGCAAGAATGCTTTTAAAGTTTGAATGTTGTCAACACAGAGTAAGGCCTATTATTCGGTGGCAATAAAGCTATTCAAAATGCTTGGGTATATCAGCTATTACTATAACATACAAAGTGAGAAGGCATGCTTTTCTTATTAGCATTTATTTCTTGTGTCTGTGTGGACTAGCATATGTGCCCGTGGTGGTCAGAAAACAACTTGCCGGAGCTGCTTCTTGCCCTTGGCCATGAGGGTTCTAGGAATGGAACTCTGGCCTTAAGGCTTGGCTGCAAGCGCCCTTCCCCACCCAGCCATGTCACGTGCCCGTTCTTCGAGAGTAAGGCATGAAATGAAGCATGTGCAAACCGACCTTGAAGTAGGTGGAGTCTCCTCCAGCGGTCTGCGGTTTCACCGCAGACACTTGACTGCTGCCCAGTCTCGGCGGGACGAACAACTTGAAGGGCTTTTGCTTCTCCATAGTGTCTACTAGGCCTCAGGGGAAGGGAAGAGTTCACAAGGCTCGGTGAGCAAGACAGGAGCACAGTGAGCTAGGTCCCGCAGTGGGGTCCAGCCTCCGCGTCGCCCCACGGCGCCCGGGGCCTACCCGGTAAAAACCCGCGGAGTCCCGCCACCCCCCCCGCTCGGGCCGCCACGCGGCCACAGGCCCCGCCCCAACCTCGAAGGCCCAGGCCGCGGCCTCTGAAGGCCTCGACCCCGCGGGTCGGCGACAGCCCGGAAGCCCTCCACTCCCTCACCGTCGGCGGGCTCCGCGCCCCGGGAGCGCTTCTCTAGGAAAACATGGAACGGAACCGCAGAACCTCCTGGAAGGCCCGAGCGCGGCCGCACCCGACGCAGGCCGCGCGCACGACTGGCCGACTGACCGTTAACGGCTAAATATAAGCGTTGGGCCGCCCCGCAGCTGGCCAGGATCTCGCGCACGCGTGGGCGGGTCTCGCGCGACTTCCCACGGGCGCCAGGCTTCTGAGTCTCCACCGAGCCTGCGTTCTGTGAACCCTGGGGAAGCTCTCCCGGCGCTCGGGCGGAAGAGCCGGGGAGGTCACGGCCATACCGCGCCAACGAGCACGTTGCCAAATGGCCATTTAAAGGAGTCGTTTCCTTTTTCAAAATAATAATAATAAAGATTTGTTAGTTTCTGTTTTGTGCGTAAGCGTGTTTCGTGTGCACCGAGAGCAAGCAGTGTCCTGGGCGGCCATAAGAGGGCCGGGTAGGATCCCTTGGACCTGGAGTTACAGATGGTTGTTATTGCCATGTGGGTGCTGGGAACCAAACATGGGTCCTCTGCTAGCGGCAATAAACCACATAAAAAGAGTCATTTCTAAGGAGCCCTGAAGACACCCGGAAGTGGTGCTGAGTTTGGCTTAGGAAACTTCCCAGGTCCTGGATGTGTTTCTGACTGCTTCTGCTGCGGCTACACAATCAATACGTCCAACTAAGCACAAGCTGGGCAAGTAGTGGAGTTGTCCGTGAGTCAAACGAGATCAAGAAGTAGGGTACAGTTGTGTGAGGACCGGGTGGGAAAATAAGACTGGAGATAAAAAGAAGAGATGAAGGCAAAAAAACGGGGAGAGGGAGGTTGGACGTCATAGATGAGGGTATGAGGAAATTTAAGCAGCAGGGTTGGAATGATCAGATTTGGAAGAAAATGCATGGTATGAAGAATGCTTTCAGTTTATGGAGTGAGACAGTTTTAATAGCCTAGACAAGATATAAGGACATGAGTGATCACAGGAGCAGGGAAGGTGAGGTGACAGCTGGAAAATAAAACTAGCAGGCCAAATTAGTGTGTTTTAACTTAAGTTAAAGGGAGGGAAATCAAAGGAGCAGGCTTGGTTAACTAGATATATCATTACTACGGTGCTGAAACAGGTATAATACCCAACTTTCTCTCGTTAGCATTTTTTTTTTTTCTCAGATCTTCCTTTTAAAATTCAGCTATGGAAATCAAGCTGCACTGGGTACTCTAAAGAGAAAAGTTTGACTCCGGTTATTTGTATGTATGACATACAGAATATTAAAATGTGTTCCTTTATCTTTTGCTGCTATTTCCTTTGGTGGAATAAACTTATCAGTATAAATCAGAGGAAATCCTAAGTGCATGTGGATTATTACCAGTAGTACAGCCATGACAAGGACCAATGGCTCAGACCCATGAAAAAAGCAAAGCCATCCTGTGCTCCATGTTTGGATATTGACAGCGTATGCAAAAACTAGCACCCACAGCTTCCTCCTCCAGGGCGACATCTTGACACTGCCCAGCTACAGAGACTCTCAACCAAGACCAGCTAACCTGATTCCTTATGCTACACATAATAAATGTGCTAAGTTTCTAGGCTGTGGTGTGGTTGATGCCCTCTGTGAGAGGGGTCCACCTGTGGCTGCTTGAATGAGCATGGCCCCAATTCCCTCCTCTATTTAACTGCTTGGTCCCTGCTGGGTGGAACTGTTTGAAAAGGACTAGGTGAGAGTGTCAACTGGGAAGGGCTTTGAGATTTCCATACCCTATGCCAGGCCCAGTCAGCCCCCTTCTCCTCTCCCTTGCCTCCAACTTGTAGATCAGAATGTAGACTCTCAGCTACTGCTCCAGGGCTTACCTACTTGCCTGGTGCCAGGACCTGCCAGGACCATCATGGACTCACCCTTTGAAACTGGAAGCAAGCCCCCAACTAAATGCTTTCTCTCATAAGTTGCCTTGGTCATGGTGTCTCATCACAGCCCTAGAAAAGAAACTAAGATCCCAACTTTTCTGTACTTGTGTCTCTGGGTCTATCATTTCTTCATTGAGCCTCACCCCAGTGAGGCTTCCAGAACCAAGTCGTGCAGGCTATGTGTGGCAGGGTAAGAGTAGGGGAGGTAGTTCAGCAGTAGATAAAGGCACTTGTGTCTTTTAAGCCTGACAATCCGTGAAACACATAAAGGTGGAAGGAGAGAACACACTCCACAGAACTGTCCCCTGGAGTCCATGTGTTTTGGCACACACACACACACACACTTTTTTAATTTAAAAGAAAAAAACAACAAATGTTGGCAAAAATTGTGAAGGAAAAGAAATCTTTATACGCTGTTGAAAAGAAGGTAGTCTTTGTGAAAAATCACTATATAGTTACCTTCAAACCTAAAAACAGACCTACCCTATATATAATCCATACCACTTCTGGGAATACACCTGAAGGAATCCAGAGCCACATAAAATCGCAAAGCCTACACAGTCGTGTTTATTACAGCACAATTAACAGTGGCCAAGATACAAAATCCAACTCCATGCCATCAGTAGATGGACAGATAAGTAAAATGGAATATATGCAGATACACACACAATTCAGTCCATAAGAGGAATGAAATTATGTCATTTGCAGAAAAAGAGATGGGGGGGTCTTCATGTTAAAGAAAATAAACCAGACTCAGACTAGAATAAAATGTTTTCTTGCATATATGAATCTATTGTTTTAGGACACGGAAGTAAAAGGAAACTATTGGGGGGAGGGCAAGAAGGGCATCAGTAGTGTGGGATAGTGGTAAATAGAACAGAAATATCTAATATACATGTATGACATTTTCATAATGAAACTCGCTAATTAGCATAGACTTCTTTAAAAATGTGAAGCAGATAAACAACTTGAAAAGGTTTTCTTCCTCTTTAATTATTCATGAAATGCTGTGACAAAAAGAGGTGCTAAGCATTAGCTTTTATTAAGTTAATGTGTCCTTAATCCGAGAGGCATCCAAACTGCCTCACCTAATTATAACTAACTTTGTTCACATTTATAGGCTATATATTTTCAGCTAAATAAAAAAAAAAAAAAATTAGTTGACCATGACCATCAGTTCTTTTTTTTTTCTTTTTCTTCTTCTTCTTCTTCTGAGATGAGTTCTACACAGCCCTGTATTGCCTTAAACGTGGGATCCTCTAGCCTCCATCTCCCAAGTACAGGGATTGTGCTACCTCATGGCTCCATTGTTTCTTTTGCATCCAATCGTGAAAAGAATCCTAGGGTGTTCATCTGCTGAGTCCAGAATTTCACAAATCTGATGAGCCCTTCAGATCTCCAGCTTATGGTTTTGTATGACGATACAATGATTCTTTTTCACATTTTTCAAATCAGTCATCCAATTTTGGTTTTGAAATTTTAAGAGAAGCCTCAATACTGTAAGTTTTTAATAAAGTGAGTGCAAATTCCATTTCTCAGAGAAGAACATAACCAATCTGGGGTCCTTTGTTTTCCACGTCGAAGGATTTCCGAGTGGCTGTGACTCAGAGTTCTCAGCTCAGTAAGCCTCCCTATAAGGTGAGCGAAATGCTGCGGCTCTTCTGGATGGTACGCTTTTGAACACTTAAACAAAAGTTGTAGAACTGGTTCCTGTAGGCTCTCTACGTGCTGCTTATTTTTAAGGCATGAACGATCTGAAAAACATATTTATCTTAACGTTGATTGAAAGTGGTGGCAATAGTAAATGCACTTAAAATAGTGCAGTTATTAAATAATACAAATTGAAAGTACTTACAGAATCCTAATACACATTAGATTCGCTAATTAAATTGTTCATTATCTTATTTAATCTTCACGATGATCTATTGAGCTATATTCTATTTTTATCACATTTTTCAGATTAGCTTCCTGAAATGGAGGGAGTTAAGTAATTTCCATGAAGTCATATGGGAAGGATCAGTGAGTACTGTTGGGAATAGAACAGCTATGACGGGCTTGCCTGAAACTTGGAAACAGTAGTGATCTCTCTACAGCCAACAGGAAATAAAGCACAGACTTCATGGGTCCCTACTGTAAGATATAAGCTAACCAAGAATTTCTGAAGGTGTAGAAAGCCTTCATCTAGCCATACTGCAATGAAGCTCATAGGTGAAATGTTGAATACTTAAACAAAAGTTGTGGAATTGGTTCCTTTAGGTTTTCTACCTGCTGCTTATTTTTAAAACATGGATGATCTGAAAAAAAAAAAAAAACAAAACACATTTTTCTTAATGTTGATTTAATACTGTACTCAGGGAAAGGAATGGGGAAAAAAGAAACATCTTTTTGTGCATTTGTTTGTTTTGTTTTGTTTTGTTTTGTTTTGTTTTTTGAGACAAGGTTTTTCTGTGAAGCCTTGGCTGTCCTGGACTGGCTTTATAGACCAGGATGGTCTTGAACTCACAAAGATCCACCTGCCTCTCTCTTCCTGAGGGCTGGGATTTCAGGCATGAAATACCACAACCAGCTGGCACACACAACTTAAAAAGTATTTAAAAAAAAAAAAAAAAAAAAAGGAGCCAGGTAGTGGTGGGGCAAGCCTTTAATCCTAGGACGGACTCGGGAGACAGAGGCAAGCAGATCCATGTGAGTTCAAGGCCAGCCTGCAAAGCAAATTCCAGAACTACACAGAGAAACCCTGTTTTGGAAAAAAAAAAAAAAAAAAAGTAAAAAGTAAAAATAGAGGGCTGGTCCAGCACTTAGGAGACCTGGCTGATCTTCCCAAGCACTGGATTCCAATTCACCTGCCCACATGGTGGCTCACAGCTATCTGTAACTCCAGTTCCAGGGGACCTGACACCTTCTTCCGGACTCACAGACACTGCACACATGGAGTACCCATACCGACAAAGGAGGCATACACATCAATAAAAATAAATGAATAAAAATATTTTTTTTAAATAGCAAAAATAATGATGTACTATAAAGAAAAGCAAACAGGGAAATAGATAAGGCTCTGGGCTGGGGAATGATAGCTATTTTGCAGAGACTAATCAGGGATATAACAACATTAACAGAGATCCAAAATAGTGAAGGAGAAAAAAAACAATTCTTAATTAATTGACAAATGGGAAAAGATGGCATCATGTGGGCATCTGAACAAAAGGGGGCAAAAGATACATCAACAACAGTAGAACCTGTAGCAAGAACTTGCAGGACTCAGGAGACTTCTATGTCAAAAGCAAAGCTGCTGGGTAGAGGACGAAAAATCAGCAATAAAGAATAATAGAAGGAGCTTTGGGTTTAATCTGTGCAAAACAGAAAGCCATTGACACGTACGAAGAGAGCAATGCCACGGTCTGACTCACATTTCCAGAGAATCCCTCTAGGTGCTAATAGAGGGAGGGAGTCTATAGAGGAAAGATTTGGAAAAGCCAGTTAGAAACGTGCCTCAATTATGCTGCTCGGGCCAGAGACAGCAGGAAGCAGTTAAGTGCTAGGTGTATATTAGGGTTGAGTGAACAGATTTGGTGTATGTGTGATATGAGTATAGGAGAAAGAAAAGAAACTGAGGATTAAAAAAAAAAAAAAACTTGTGTGTGCAATTTGGAAGATGGAGCTATAGCTTGGTAAGGTGGAGGAGAAATATGAAAGGGTGACGCAGAAAGGTCTCAGGAGCTCAGTTTTGGGCCTTTTAAATTTGGCAGTCACATGGAAGTCTTGAGGAGGCTATTTATCTAACGGACTCTAAAGGAGCACACCAAGTTCATGGATAAGTTTGCAAGTATCGACTACACACAGGCCTTTCATGCTAAGAGATAAGATAGGACCATGAAGGAAGGAAGTGGAAAAGAAAACTGGGCCTTGTCACAACTGCCTGTAACTCCAGTTCCAAGGGATCGGACACTTTCTTCTGAACTCAGCAGCACGAGGCACTCACAGTGCATAGATGCAAGCAAAACATACGCATAAAATATTGAAATAATGTAAAAGAAAACTTTGTCCTAGAACAACTTCAATGTTTACCATTGTGAGAGAGGAAGAGGACAGAATAAAGGAGACTCCTAAAGAATAGCCAACGAGCAGAGAGGATGGTGATCCAGAGATTCAGTGAAATAATAAAGCTGTGAAGGCCAGTGGGATGGCTCAGCAAGAAAAGACCCTGTCACCAAACCTGACTTTCTGAGTTCAACCGCTAGGGCCTGTGTGGTGGGAAGACAGAACCAGCTCCCATAGGTTGTCTTCTGACCTCCACGTGCATGACATGTATATACACACAACAAACAAACAAATAAATAAAACTTTCAAATGTCTAACAAAAAAAAAAACCTACATATATGAGTAGGTGGTTTAGTTTGGAGTAGTAACTGCTTGAGACCACCATGTTTTTGCAGTTCTTTGTATGAACTAGGAAGATTTCCTTGGCTTGAGCGGCGAGTTATCCATGCTAAGCGACTGTCTCACTTCCACCTGGAGCCACTGTGTAATGCAGGTTACAGGCATGTCAAGAAGCGTCAAGCAAGAGGCGTCCCTCCTAACGTGCCGGAGATCGGCACCGTGGCTTCAAAACTCCGCCCAAGGGCTCACCGGAAACAGGCTGCCCCCTCGGTCTCTTCCAAGTGCTTATGGGTCAAGCGAAATGAGGACCAAGAACTGACTTGCAGGATCAGCAATGCCAAGATCCTGAAGCTACTGACAGGTTGTGGTGGATTGGAGAGGATGGTATGAAATCTGACTGCGGAGGAATCATGGGTAAGAGGAGCAAAGCGCAGACTGGAATATAGCTAGCTCCCTGAAGAAACTTTCTCTACCAGGGACTTGGGAGAGTATATCCAAGGTGAGGGCAAAAGAGCATTTTTTTTAAGATGCAAGAAACTAAAACACGGTCGTGACCTTAAAGGAATGCCATAGAGCAAACTGTGAAGGAATGAAATTAGTACATTTGACCTCGGTTAGTAGCTCACTAAGCAAGAGCTTTGTGACTTCCCATGCAGACGTCAGCCAGAGCCGTAGGGCTCACGGTTTTTACCTGAAAAAAGCACTGTTGTTGCCGTAAGCAGAGCATATTCGGTATCCGTTACATTAAGATCATTCATTCTTCTGTAGAAGTAAGACAATGAGGCAATAAATTCTTTAGTAATACCTAAAAGGATTGATATAAGTGAATTTTCATCAGACTGTAGCACAGAAGCAAACGCACTGTGATCATCCTTTTTTTCCTCTCAGATGGCTTGCAGGTGTGGTGACCAGCAGGGACAGTTCCCTTTGTTGTGTCCTTGAAGCCCATGCTGGAACCTCAATAGAGGTCTCAGTAGGTTTGCTACCGAGAAAGACCAGAACAATGGCAGGGTGTCACCACGCAAACCAAGAAGAAGACTGTGGGACTGAGAGCCTACGGCCTGCAGAGGCCCCTCTCTGGGTGTTTCTGTGTTTTCCACAGTAAGGCTCTACCGTCTATCCATAAAAGTGGTTGATACTGGGATGTTCGCTATATATTACAACATCGTCATCCTGGGAAACTGTGAAAAGCACCCCAAAGAATGAGCCGCAAATAGCTTCCCACCTAACTAGGGAAAGAATTGCCAAATGTTGTAGCCAAAATAAGAAAATGGGTATAAATAGAATGCTCACTGGTGGCCTGCCTAACATTAACAAAGGCATAGACTGCAGTCTACAAATGGTTTCACCACCACAGAAACACCCTTAGCAGAGAAAGCTGTGAAGTGGGAGAAAAGCCCATGGCGCTCTCTTTGTAATAAAAGGAAAAAAAGAGAGAAAAGGAAGCATGCCCACCCAAAATGATATGTTGTATTGTGCAATGTTACCAGTTAGAGTAGCAGAAGGGGAGCCTTCCTTGAAAAAGCTTTCCAAAGAACAAACATTTTCATCACCCCTTTGATTATGCACCTCCAGTGTATGAGCTGAGGGCTTTGGTGGTCTCACAGTACCTAGCAAAAGAGAAAAATAGGAAGTCTGCTATTTTTTCTAACCATTATATAGATAGCAAATTCAGTATCTTTTCAGAATTCTGCATAACTATTATGTGAAAAACAATCTCCTAAAATGACTTCTTCATCATTTTTGTTACTGTAACATAAAACCATACTAATAGTTCATATTTCATAGAAAGACTGTAAAGGCCCTCCAAAGTGAGCTGCCCATGATGCTATAGAGAATGACTTTCTTAACCACACACCCCCTCCACGCGCCACTCAGTTCATCAGAGGCTGTGGAAATTCCGAAGTAAACACTCTTCAAGCAATCAGAGACTAGTGTCATCAGGGGCCTGCCTTTAGCAACCTTACAGTCTAGTACATGCAGGGAAGAACAACCAATACAGGACAGCCAAGGCTACACAGAGAAACCCCCCAAAAAAGTGTGTGTGTGTGTGTGTGTGTGTGTGCTTAATGTGGTATAACTTGTTGCTAAATTTAACATGTATGTGTTATTTAAAGTTATGCAGCAGGGCTGGAGAGATGGCTCAGGAGATGAGAGCACTATCTTCCAAAGGTCCTGAGTTCAATTCCCAGCAACCACATGGTGGCTCACAACCATCTATAATGAGATCTGATGCCCTCTTCTGCCATGCAGGTGTATATGCAGATAAAGCACATAAAATAAATAAATAATCTTTAAAATATTAAAATAGATAGATAGATAGATAGATAGATAGATAGATAGATAGATAGATAGATAGATAAAGTTATATGGCGGTGCACACCTTTAATCTCACCACTCTGGGAGGCAGAGGATCACTGTGAGTTCAAGGCCAGCCTGGTCTACAAAGCAAGTCCAGGAGAGCCAAAGCTACCCAAAGAAACCCTGTCTTGAAAAGCAGAAAAAAGGAAAGAAAAAGCTCTTTTTCTCCTTCTTACTTGCAGAGGGTGGGTCTCTCACACTGCAGAGCTGGGCTGCATGCAAGAACACCACTTCAGTTTCCGACTCCTTCTGCAATACGATCTGATCCTCACTGGGTAGGTTTTCAAACCCTTAAAACAAAGCACCAAGAGACAGATTACCCAAACATAATGTTCATAACCAAATGCTTGAAAATATTTATTTACTTATCAACCCTAAGTGCTTCTTGGGAATAACCACTGTATATACATTCAAATCTGAATAAAATTCTTGCTTCTACATGGTAATATTTATTTTAGGGCCCTCTTATCAGGACTAGGTGACACTTTGCTTATGGCAAGAACAAATCTAACACAGTTGCTTTAGCCTCGAAGAATGTAATTTTACAAAGAGTTTCTTTATCTGTAAATATATAGTAAAACTGAGTTATATATAACAAAGTTTTGGCCAACTGTGGCTTGTTCTAGTATTGTACAGGGAACTTTCTTTGATCCCCATTTTCATCTTTAAAAAAAAAAACCTACATCATTATAATAGTTTTCGCAGATATTCAGATTTTCATCCACCTGATTAATTGAAGTAGATAAAATAAGCTTTTTTTTTTTTGTCAGAAGTAACATTGCTGAAAAAATAAAGGTTTTCTAGTGAAACCAGGGCCTCACACACATTAGACAGGCACTCTGCCACTGAACTGTATACCCAGTTCCACATTTAGAAGTTTTTGTTTGCTGTACTATAGCCCTTTACCTTAAAAACAGAGAATTTGGGGCTGGAGAGACACCAGTTAAGAGCTTTTTTGTCGGAATCTTGCACAGATTCCGAGTTCAGTTCCCAGCATCCACATGGTGGCTCATGGTCATCAGTAACCCCAGTTCCAGGAGTTTCTACATTTTCTTATGGCCTCCGCGATATGGTATGGACGTGGTATCAATATGTACTTGTAGGCAAAACATGCATGACACATAACCATAAGCATAAATAAATCTTAACAAAAATAATGAGAGAGAGTTTAACCTGGGAGTCCCCTGGTAAAATTCATCAGCCCCTGTGTGTGCAGGGCTGCTGCTTCTGCGAGTCTCAAAAAGCTCAGCTCAGGGTTGGAACACTCCTGCACCTAGTCCACAGAGAGGAATAAAAATGATGAATAGTCTTTTCTTTCAGATAATTACTGAAAATTTTCAACCCTTTTTGCTGTCATTTCCTAATAACATTCACTAATTACACGTTATGTCTTGCCAGCAATGAATACATACAAGCGTACTTATTTCCCGTAAGGGAATCATGGACTCTTGATGAGCAGTCACTATGGTATTCATGAGATGGAGTTCCTCTTGAGTTAGTGTCATGCTGCCCTGAACCTGTAAGGAAACAGAGGACACCTATTATACATGCCTCTTACACGTGCTGTTGATAAGGAAACAAGAGGCCGTGTGGAAGGAAAGCCTTGCTTGCCCCCTTTCCAGGTGTACTGGTGGACGATACAAGCCGGCTGTCTGCTCCTTCCTCTTCCCATTGGATGTCAGAGTAAAGGGCAGCCTTGTTCTTGACCTTCTTGCGAAGTCTCTTCGACTTACGCTGAATCTCCGTGAGCAAACCTGGGACAGCACAAAATTGACACACAGTTGTTTTTTTGTTTGTTTGTTTTTTCACTCAGAAAATAACACTGTAGGATTTGATGGAAATGGTCTTAAATGAGTAAAGGGTCATAGGCATCTCTTGTGCGTGTATGCATTAACTAAATTTCCTATGTTCCTTTTTCCCTTCATAGCTACCTTGTCTGCTTGAAAATACAGTCATAGAAGACAAAGATTAAAACGCAATTTTTCATTTCCAAATTATGTTCGGATTTTTACATAATAAATTCACACATTAATTTCATCTTGGAAGTGAGGTAGATTGTCATTTTATAGAATAGTAGAATTGCCTTATCTATAACTATCATCACTGGTTTTACGTAAGAAGGTTAAGAAAGACTATCTTAGGATTTTCAGAATAAACTAAGCCAATTTTTCCCATAAACCAGAAAAAGCACTTAACTCTTTCAAACGTGAATAACATTTACTTGAGGATTGTTGTTGTTTGTTGTTTTTGAGGATTTACTTTTAATTATTTACATGAGCCCGCGTGCGGGAATGTACGAGTAGTACAGGTGCCCATGGATACCACAGGGGCATGTCCCCTTGAGCTGGAATTAGGGTTGGTTGTGAGCCACCCAAAGTGGGTGCTGGGACCCGGAGTCAGGTCTTCTGCAAGAGCAGTGTGTGCTCTTAATCCCTGAGCTGTTTCTCCAGCCTGGGGATGCTTGTTTTTATACAGTGTTTAATCTTCAAACTGTAGCTTTACTGGACCAGCAGCAGCTCCCATAAATCAATACTAAAAACTATGCAAGTATTAATATACCTGTCATTTTCATAAGTATTTAAAGCATACCCTAGTAAAATAAAAAATAAAATAAAAATTAATGAGGAGCTGGAGTATAGAACCAAAACCTTAACCTTAAACCAAAACCTTAAAACCCTTCTACATTATTTTATTATTTATCATTTTATTATTTATTATCAGAGAAAAGGAATACAAAAAAATATGAAGCCAATTTTAAACATATCAAATATTGGGCATGGCAGTACACACCTGTAACCCCAACTGCTCAAGAGACTGTATCAAGAAGATCACATGCCAAATACGAGCCTCGGCAGCTCAGACAGACCCTGTCTTCACTTGTTTCAAGTAGAAAGAGAGTCTGTGTGTATAGCTAAGTGGTAGATGGTCTAACTTGGGAAACCTGAGCATCGTGACAGTACTAGAACAGTTGAAGGGTAAAGGAAGATCTGCAGCAATGATAAGGATGCATGAATAATGTGATGAGGCCATGCTCACCAATCACGAGGATTGAACTCATCAATTTTCTTTTGCTTCACCTGGCCATAATTCCTTTGAGTCTAAGTGAAGGATGATTTACTTAGTTTATAGAGTCCCTCTGAGTTCCCTTGTACATACATGTCCTGATACAGGTGAAAAGACAACTTTTGGGCCAGGCGTGGTAGCACATATTTTTTAGTTCCAAAAATTGGAGGGCAGAGGCAGGGGGATCTCTGAGTTTGAGGCCAGCCTGGCATACAGAGCAAGATCCAGGTCAGCTACATAATAAAATCCTGTCTATAAGTTAAATTAATAAATAAAATAAAAGACAACTTTTTTACGTGTTGCTTTGGACTGAGTTGTGTCTCCCAAAGCTCTATGCTAAAGCGCTAACCTCTGATGTGCTGGGGAACAGGTCCCGACACCCACACCTGGATAGCAGGCAGGCTTTTGGGAACTACTAACTTTAAATATTGCATTTAAATTCAGAATATAATTTTTCAGTTCAGTATATAATTTCAGGCTAAGTAACATAAAAATACAAGATCTTTTTTTAAAATTATTATCTAGATTTATTTTATTTTACGTGTGTAAGTGTTTTGCTTGCATGTGTGGGTGCATACTACATTCATGCCTGGCACTTGGAGAGGTCAGAAGAGGATCCAGAAGAACGGGATCCTCTGGAACTGGAGTTAGAAATGATTGTGAGCTGCCATGTGGACGCTGGGAACTGGGCACAGAGCCTCTGCAAATGCTCTTAACTGTTGAGCTAACTCTCCAGCCTCCAAAGAACTTCTAATTAAGACAAAAATTACGAGTGGTTCCAAAATTAGAGCACTACGGTACAGCACAACATCGTGGAAGTCACCACTTACATTGATAATGGGCCTCCATTCGCGCAGCTGCTATGCGCATGCGGGCGGTGTGCATATAGACCTGAACACGGCAATATTCCAGATAACGCTTGAAGAACACTTTACATTCTCAGTAAGGCTGGAACTGTTTTATTTTATTATTTTTAAATTTTATTGTGCTAGGGGAGCACGCAGCCTCCCACTAACACAGATTACGACCCGAGTTTCCCACCTTTGTGGAAATTATAGCGGTCAGCACATCCCCGGTGCAATGGATGAGCCTGGCCCCGGGAGAACCACCACCGTTACCGCGATGTCGCCCCTGCCAGGGAAGTAAGGCTGCGGAAAAATTAAATCCCCCTCCGAAAACCAAAACCACAAGCACAACGGCACTTACATTCTGCCAGCATCCCCACCGCCTTACACTTTTTCAGTCTGCACTCTTGGCATTTTCTACGCATGTACATGTCCATTTCACAGTGGCCGCCATTCTTGCAACAGTACACCGCATTTTTGGTAATACTACGTCGGAAGAAACCTAACAACAAAAATTGTCAAAGTTGAACATTGATATTTTTAGTTGCTTCTCATTTTTATTTTTATTAACATTAGGTAGAATCAGGTTAACCAGATTCTTTCCATAAAATGAAGGGGTTTCCCTCTCAATAGTTTGTAATATACTTATTATATATTAAATTGTGTATTATCAAGTGGAAGGTTATGTAATTCTTTCCAGTTGATATACTCATTCCATCCTGATGTTGTCTCTTTTATGATAATGTCTGGAGATTAAACTGAGTACCCTTATCACAGTAAGATGATTACCTATAAGAATTTTCTAAACTATTTTTCAGAATCTCAAGATCCCACAAAGCATCTCTCAAGGTTCCTTGGAGAGAATACATGGTCACCTAAAACAAAAATATCAGAAAAGCCTATCTTCTCTAAGCCCTCACAGTTTGATTTTGGGCCCAGGGGCAGGAATGTCCTTGCAGCCTACCCCTCTCCATTTAGCTTCCCCTTTGGGAAAGCCTTTCTCTTTCCTTTCCCTCCTTTGAGCCTTATTCAGTACAGTAATCCTGCCCTCCCTCTTCTGAAGCTGTCAAGCTCAGTCAAAGCCCCACTTCAAGCCTTACATCTCTTCTGGTAGACACTTAAGAGCATTTCGCCATTTCAATTCAACAAAGGAAGTAAAAGCTTAGCTCAGGTTTTCAAAATTGCCAGGTTCTTCAGCTCAGCTTTAACAGTGAGGTACTGATTTCAAAAGCAGACCTCCTTGCCCAGCTGCTCTGCTCAGGATTTCCTGTAGCCGTCATCTTTCCTGTGGTCGTCATCATTTGGCTATTTTTTTTGCAAGTGTTGAGTTATAAGACTTAGAGGTAAATTTTCACCCTGAACAAACACATTTATTCATGTTTTTTGGGTTGTTTTATTTTGTTTCTGGGGGTGCTAAGATCAAATCCAAAACTAGGTGCTAAGTGCCTCATCCTTACGTTTTCTGATTAATGATGTGCTGGAGTGCTTCAAAACTGTTAGAATCAGTTGTAACAGTTTGCTCTTTGCAAACACTGGCCCTCACTTCCAGACTTTCAGTTTGTTCTCTTTCTTTACCAAGCACTTAAAAAAATCTTTTGACTTAGAATCATAGAAGTCATTTATTTCAAATTTTCTCCAAGTGTGTAAATTGTATCAACCACATAAAAAGATGTCGTGGTTAACATTCGGATCTTTATAAAATGTAATGTTTTGTTCCAGCACCAAATTCTTTTTGAACTAGGGAAACTTTTGCTTGCATGTATTGAGTTTGCACTGAAATGTAAAAGTCTTCACCAAAAACGAAAAAAGACAGACCCAATAGTGAATCTTAATACCAATGCTTGGGAGACAAAGGCAGGTGGATTGCTGAAAGTTCAAGAACAGCCTGGTTATTACAGTGAGTTCCAGGACAGTCAGTATTGCATAGAAAGATGTTTTCTCAAAAAAAAAGATAAGGAGGAGGAGAAAAGGAAGAGAGGGAAAAAGAGAAGAGAGGAGAGGGAAAAAAAGAAAAGAATAGAAAAGAAATTAACCAGGGACAGTCATAGTGGTCCACACCTTTAATCCCAACACCTAGAAGACAGAGGCAGGCATATCTCTGTGAGTTCAAAGCCAACCTGCTCTCCATAGTGAGTTCTAGGCCAGCCAGGGCTACATACTGAGACCCTATTTCAAAAACAGAAAAAAGAAAAAGAAAAAAAGAAACAAACATTAAACTTAATTTTATTTGCCTGCCTTTAATCACACAGGTTGATCCTTTTAACATGCTTCCCCCTAGTTTTCTTTCTCATGTTTTATAAAGCATTTGTGTGTGTGTGTGTGTGTGTGTGTGTGTGTGTGTGTGTGTGTGTACACCAGATGTGTGCAGCGCTCACCCCTTACCTTTGCAGCCCTCACAGGTAAGTGCATTGTAGTGATACCCTGACGCCTTATCACCACAGACCATGCAGAGCTCATCTCGTCCCTTCCAGGGTAAAGAAAAGGTTGATCTGGACCTTGGCATCCCAGGGAATCCGTCCTCATCATCACGAACATAAGCAGACTGACTTGATCCATGAGCATCGAGTACACACCAGCCGCCTCCGCTGTACTGTGGATCCAAGCCGCGTGTGTTGAAATGGCTTTGTAAAGACGGGGACTGTAAAGCCGGAGGGAACTGAGGGCCAGAATACTGGCAACAGGGGGCTTCTTGGAAATCACACAGCTCATAATGGATTTGTTCTGGCAAAAAATCTAGTTTCATTAACATAAAAAAAAGAATAAAACATAAAAAGTCAAAAGTTCATAATTGTTTTCAAACTTCAAAATGATTTTTTATGCTCAACGGAAAGTTCATTCAACACATCCACGACATCACAGGGCTTGCGGCCTAGCATGATGGGAACACGGTAAATGGAACTGTAATACCTAATGCTCACACCCCAGAGGTGGACAGAGGTAGACCAGGAGCCAGCAGGAAGGGCATTGGTTGCTAGTGCTACAGGCACCAATCTAGTCTCTCTCCTTAAGGAAACATGACTATTTCCCAGATTTTTAATTGAGTTTTTTCCCCCTAAGTTATGCATGTGGCTATTGTCACAATAGAAGCAGAGACCACTTTCAGCATCCTGCACATAGGCCCAGAGACAGGCTGAGCACAGCCTCAGCCCACTAGTCCTGTTTTAACGAGGCCCATTGTCGTGGGCTCCTTAACCAAAATGTTCTTGGGACTTTCCAAACACCTGCCCAGCCCAAGCCACACACAACAGTCCTCTTGGCCTAATTTGGTAATGTCAACTTTGGACCCACTTCTTGGGGGCACAACTCCTCCCCCTCCAGATTTCCCAGGTGGGGACCTTAAAAGAACACCCTTGTCTCCAAACAACATTTTTAATTAAATAAAATAAAATTTAAAAACACGCTTTGTGCTCCTTAAGTCTGCTGAATTTATTGCAGACCCCAGTCAGCTCTGATTAACCTTTTAAACGAAGAACGATCCAGCACCGTGTATCTGTCGAGAGCCACACCTCTCTCTAACCCTAACAGTTACAACTGTTGTTAGTACAAATGGGCCAGAAACAATATAAATTGATGAATTAACTCCCCAAAAGAAAAAAAAAAAAAAACACGAATTTCAAACAAAACAAGACAACAGCAAACAGCCTTTTTTGTTTGAACTTCTCGTTTAATTTATTGGCTGAGATTGGGATGGGGTTGACATGTCTCTGACCCTTTTGCCACTTGTGTGACCTTTACCTCCTACGGGGTTGCCTAGTCCAGCCTTGGGGTGACAGGATGTGCCCAGTCTTATTGTAGCTTCTTATACCATGCTTGGTTGATGTCCCTGGGAGGCCTGCTTTTTTTCTGAGGGGAGGGGAGGAGAGGTGAACCTGAGGGAGAAGGGAGGTAGTGGGAGAGACTGGGGGAGGGGAGGGAGAGGAAACTGTGGTTGGGATGTAATATGTGAGAGGAAAAAAAAAATGAGTTCTGCTCTTGCAGAGGACCAGGGTTCGGTTCCCAGCACTGTGGCTCACAAATGCCTGTAACTCCAGTTCCAAGCAGATCCAATGCCTCTGGCTTCCATGGGAACCTGCACTGCAAATAACCACACACACAGATACACAAAACAATACAAGTAAATCTTTAAAAAAAATAAAAACGTATCAAGCACGACCACTGTACCGTTCATGTACAATTTAACACAAAAGTTCGCCTCCATTTGTCCTTAAGAATTAACTTCAACTTTTACAAGTTAATTTTTTTAATTTAATTTTTTTTTAGATTTATTTATTTTGTGTGTGAGAATTTCACATTACTGTATGCCTGTGCCTTTCTTGTATGCCTGGTGCCCAAGGAGGCCACAGAAGGGTATCCGATTCTCTGAAGCTGGGATTACAGAGGGTTGTGAGCCATCATGTAGGTGCTGGGACTCGAACCCTGGTCCTCTGGAAAAGCAGCCAATGCTCTTAACTGCTGAGCCATCTAGCCACACACACACAAAATGTTCTATTAACAGCTGTACTGCAGTTTTTTATTACATACCGGAATACTGTGTGGGGTCAGCAAGATGGTAGCCATCAGACGCAGCGACATAGGTGTTTGCCATCCTCTAGCCCAGCTTCGGCGATGCTGGACTCTTTCGGAGTGAAACCTGAGGGGGAAAATTGCAACAGACCACTTAGAACGCTAGCACAGTAGAGTGTAAAGCCAGGCGTGGTGGCACATGCCTGTAATCTCAGCACTTTAGAAACAGAGGCAGGAAGATCATCACTGTAAAACAAGCAGGACTCAGTAGTAAAGTTCAAGACCAACCCAAGCTGCAAGGCAAGATTCTGTCCCCCCCTCAAAAAAAAAAACAACAAAAAGTTACAATGGCTTATTTTGTTAATACAAAATCTGAGCTGGTTAGATGGCTCAAGGGGTAAAGGAAGCCTATAACAGAAGCCTGGCAGCCTGAGTTCAGTCCCAGGCAAAGATGGGAGAAGAGAACCGACTCCTCAAGGGGGTCATCGGCCCCCACCTGTGTCCTATGGCACACGCACACACCCATATCCGTCATGTGTGCCCCCCATCTCCCTCTCACACAATAACAATTTCTTAGAAAAAAATAGTGAAAGTTTACAGAATTTGTACAAGACTTATACTTCCACTTTAATCAAGAAATTTTTCTTTTTTTCAAACACCAAATTATTCAATTTTGCCAATTTCTTATTGCTTAGCCTTTAAATTACTTTAGCAATAACCATTAGAAGCACACTGAATTTGAGGTTAGAACTCACGTGCATACTTGTGGGTGACTTTTTTATACCTCTCTGAAACCTCAGCCCTCTGCTGTAGCACCAACACTCTCCTAGCAAAGCTGTTGGTGTCTGTGAAACTCAGCACAGCTCTCCACAGTCCCTGCTGCTCTAGGACTGGAGCGGTGGCTCAGCAGCCCAGAGCACTCACTGCTCTCCATAGGTCAAAGTTTGCTTTCAGGCTCATGACTGACCAACAACACCAGCCCCAGGCAATCCAACACCCTGTTCTGACCTACGTGCTCTCGGATGCACACGCGTGCCCACGCACACACGAATACAGAGAGAGAGAGAGAGACAGACAGACAGAGAGGGAGAGAGAGGGGTGATTTGTTTGTTGTTGTAGTTCACACAGCCATAGTGGCACATGCTTTTAAACCCAGCATTCAGGAGGCGAGGGGCAGATAGATCTCTCCACATTTGAAGCCAACGTGGTCTAGTAAAGAGTTCCAGGCCAGGCAGGGCTACATAATGAGACCTTGTCTCAAAATAAAGAAATAGAAATTTTAAATTATTTTAATGGTTTCCAAATCACCATGTTTTAAATTAAGGTGAAGCACAGAGAAAACGAGGCTTTTTCATGAATACTAAGGAAGTTAAAGAGTGGGAAACAATAGCTTTCCTGGCATTTTCTAACCATCCAAGTCTTTTGGAAATACTTTTTTCTCCAGCACTCTGATACCATAAATAGTGAAGGATTAATGTTGGCACTGCTTGAATAATGACCGCAGTTCATCAGTTTTGCTTCGAATGTGAAGACACAAAAGGTAAAAGTTAGAAGAAAAAAATTATCAAAAATCTAAGCCTAGTCCTTATGGGTAATTTGTATGTTTTTGTTATTTCCTGGGAAGGAACTCCAAAAAGGAAATGTCTTTAAATAGCACTATCCAGGAAACCACAGTTCTGAAGCTGAGAGAAGACCTCCGTAGAGGCCGTCATACTTGTAGCTTTATCCCCTCCAAGACAAGGAGGGGATAAAGATAAAGACAACTCCAAGATAAGGAGTTGGCACAGAGCCGCATTCCTCCGGAGGCTGAGGCAGAGGACGTGTGAGTTTGAGGCTGCCTGGAACCATAGAGAGACCTAGAATAAAAAAGGAGGAAAAACATCATCTCAAAAGGCAACAGCAAAGAAGATGGGTTTTGTTGTTTTACGGGAGTTTTAGTAAGTTGTTTCCATTGGTTTGTTTTTTGAGATAGACTTTCATGTAGCCCAGGCTGGCCTTCGACTACTGATCTCCGTGCCACCATGCCCAGCAAAAAAAAAAAAAAAAAAAAAAAAAAAAAAAAAAAAAAAAAAAAAAAACATAGATGACACGCCTGAGTATCTGAAATTATTTTTGGTGTGTTACTCATGTGAGCCCCATAGCTAACATTTCTCCCTACATAAGATTATTCCAAAAGTGATATGTCTGAAAGCTGTGTCCTGGGCCAGGTGTGGTGATGCACTCCTTTGATCCCAGTGCTCAGGAAACAGAGGCAGGCAGATCTCTGTGAGCTCGAGGCCAGCCTGGTCTACAGAGTGAGTCCAAGTCACAGAAAAACTCTGTCTTGAAAAGAAGGAATGGAAGGAAGGAAGGAGGGAGGGAGGGAGGGAGGGAAGGAAGGAAGGAAGGAAGGAAGGGAGGGAAGGAGGGCAAGAATTTGTGTCCTGTTCTGCCTAGTGGAGCTAGCCCCCTTTAAGAGCACATGGGACAATGACAGTATTGAATGAAGCAGGAACAATGCCTTTGGGTAAGTGAACTTTCAATATGAAATTTCCCCTGAGTAGAATACCACCAATAACATCACCATGCATGCCTGTTTCTCCACTGCCATGAGTCAGTTGTCCCTCTACCTCTGTAATTCAACTGACTCTCCATATGAAAACAATTCTGAATTGAATGTGGTAGCATCTTCCCGTAACCTTAGCACTTGGGAAGTGGAGGGAGGAGGATCAGGCAGCCTCAGCTACACAGTGAGTTCTAGGCCAGCCTCAGCCATGTAGTGGAAGTTTTTTGCTTTCTTTGAAAACTCAGTTATGTTATGTAAGTATGTGTTTGCTTTAATACCAAGTGTGGAATATGGGGCTGCTTTCAGATTGTCCACAGCTGTTATATTGCCTCATGTGGGCTCGGAGAGGGACGTGGTGCTTGCCAGCTGCAGATAGTTTAATTCTGAAGACTCTGAGAGGGGATTGATCCCCGAGCACTGAGAGGAAAGGGAGTCTGTAGGGAAAGCAGGCCGCTGCTGGCTCACCCTGCTGCTGCCTTTGCTGTTTGCTGGTTAGCTGGATGGCTGGATATACTGATGATGGAGATTAGAATTGCCCCAAGGATCTAATCTAAGCAGGTCTACACTCCCTTTCCTTTTCTTCTTTCTCTCCTACCTACTGTTGGGGGGTTGGAAGTGGAGGTACAAGAACCCCAATAAAATAGATTAAAAAGTCCTACACAGCTACACAGCGAGTTCAAGGCCAGCCTAGGCTATAGGAGACCCCATGCCTCAAAAACAAAAATGCTGTTGGTCTCATTTGTGTGCTAATTTTAGCAATACCATCTGATTCTTTCTAAGCATCCAAGTCTCACTTAGACACTAGAATGATGCAGATGAATATGGGATATTGAAATTGTTATTCATCTTTAAAATTGATTCTGAGACCAGTATGATGCAGCACACCTTTAATCCCAGCACTCTGGGAGGCAGAGTGAGTTCCAGGCCAGCCTGGTCTACAAAGCAAAGGATAGCCAAGGCTACCCAGAAAAACCCTGTCTCAAAAAACAAAACAAAACAAAAATTCTGGCTAAGAATTCACCTGAAAAACAAATTGAACAAACGTGGTGACACTTAAACCACACATAAATGCCTTATAATAATGCCATTGTCTGTCAGGACTCATGCTATAAATAAAAACGTTCTAAAACCACATTCTGATAACACTGGCCTTAAACATTTAATTTTATTGTACTATTTCTATTTGCAAGTTTTTTTAAATAATGTTCTTAAGATATTTAATAGGAGTATTACATGGATAAAAAGCAAAATAAAGCTTTCAAAAATAAAATATTAATAAAATCAGTTTTAAAACATTCTGTACGGTGAACAAGATGGACCTTTGTGTAAAGGCACCAAGTATGATGGCTTGATACCACATGATGGAAAAAGAGAACCCCCTCCCAGCCATCGTTCTCCACACACACTCTACAGTACATTTGTACACACACTCACAAACAACACAGATAAGCAAACAGAACATGATATAATTTAAAAACACTCAAGCAGATTATTAGTAAACTAGAGGCCTAAGAAAGTTTCTGTACTGCTAGAGAGAAAGTTCTCCATAGATCTGTCTTGTTATCTTTACTAGTAAATATTTATTTAAAACAAAATAGCTTAGCTAGAAGAGGACCTTTTAGCAAGATAATCAACTCACCATGGACAAAATCTGTTTTTTCTTAATATAATATATATTATAAATATATAACTTATATATTATAAATATAACTTACTAAAAAGGATCTTTTTCTCAAATTGTGATTGGTATATTTTTTAAGATGTTTAATTCTATAAATGTCTTTGCATTTTCTCCTCCTTAATCAAAAATTGGTCTCAAAGAATTTCATCTATCTAAAGTTTTAACAGGAAAAAGAAACACCAATTCTTGAGAACTAGATTCCATAGCGAGAATTTCAGATTTTTTAGATTTTTCTCCTGTAGTGTGGGTCACTACATGAATTGTGAATAAATGAATGATATGAATTAATTTAGCCGAGGAGATTACTTTAAAAGAAAAATGTTTTCATTGTTACAGTACTTGTAAAAGTGGTTTACAGAGCAGAGCTGTTCTTTGATGCAAAATCATCAGAAACAATTTTGCATGGTCATGCATCTTTGCCCTAAGGTTCTCCTGTCAGAATTTACCCTAATCAGAGAAAATGAGAAGAATGTCTTTGAACAACAACAGAAATAAAGGTGTATTAATTCCTTTATGGGAGTTTGTACTCGGCAATATAGAAAGCACTTTCTGATGTATACTGTTAACCTGTAGTTTTGATAGTAATTTATTGACAAATAATTAACCCATAAAATTCAGCTTTAACTATAGAATTCAGAATATTCATATCCTATGCAACTGTCATCACCACATAACTCCAAAGGACCTTAATACCTTCCTCAGACCTCAAATCCAACATGAGTCACCCCCACCCTCTTTCCCTGCCATCACATTCATTTAGTCTAGATATTTCACACAAAAAGAGCCATACAGTTGTGCATATAGTTTTAAAAAATAATTTTTAATTCATATTACTTCAAATAATTTAATAGAGTAATAATGATAGCAGAAGAGAAACATGCTAATATTTAGAAAATTAGCGAAACTATGAAATTAACACATTCTATATTTCAGAAATATAGAAACATAATTTGGGTCTATTTCCCTAATCTAGTCTTTGTACTTATTATAACAATTTCAACAGAGATATCATATACAGAATATATTCCATGTTGTTTTGAATTTACTTACAATCTTGCCTTTCAAGACTAAAAACAGTATCAGTAAGTTCTTAAAAACAGGTTTCACTTAGCAAATGGAACACATCATTCCTGGACAACCCATAGTCTTAAATCAAATGGCAACTAAGCGCAACTGTAGGCCAAAACTGCATTGAGCTTGTACAGGCAAGAATGGAGTTACTGTGTAATCTACCATATGCCACAAAATTGCTTCTTTTTAAGCAAAGTAATTTTTAGGGATTAACTTTAATAATAACAGTCAGCTTCCTCAATTTTGCAAAGAAAGAAACTTGTGATGGTAGAGGGTAAGGATCTGAAAAATGCCTTTTTGTTGACATTGTAACATTTAGTAAACACTTAAAGTGGCAACAACATTAACATTCATATTTAATTCGGGCAGAAGAGTAAAAACTTGTCTTATTTTAGAGAAAACAAAATACTCACAATTGGGTGGTGTTCCTACGATCTGCCCTCTTCCTCACAGAATGAGAAGATAGATTTAGCAACTCCGTTGACTTCCCAGCCGAGCAGAGTGGGCGCTCTCCCTGCTTATCAGAGGCTGGGCAGGGGACACGGCATCCATTTAAGCTCCAGACACTCTGCAGAGCACTGCCTCAGCTCTATCTCACAAACTTCCCACACGATCCTCTCTTGGGTCAAACAGGGGCAATTACAGGCTGACATAAATCAAAATACAACCGGCCCATCAGGGGTCAGGGCTTTTGAGATCCACAGGTCCCACTCTTCAGCGCTCCTTATTGTTTACTTAATAAATGCTGTTTTCTTGGTTGAATTTGATATTCTTCCACTTCCAGCTATAAAACAGAGGGTTTCTGCAAGGGAGTAGGTAATGCATGCAGAAGTGAGGGGGGGAGGTTGCAAGAAGTGGGGTCCACATTGATTGAAAAATCCATTAACACACAGGGTTAGGACAGTTCGACTTGTTTGTCTTCGGTCTTCTTTTCCCTACAGAAAAAAAAAAAAAGTTGCCAAACCAATTAAATATATGAATAATGATTTACAAATTAGTACAATGTTCAGGGTATGTATTATCCTGTTTCTCTCCTCTTCCATTAAAAAAAAAAGCAATATAAGTAAATAGATACCAGGCACCAGTGCTTGCTATGAGGATAGCTAATTAGTGAAAAATTAGATTCCATAAAAGCCAAGCAAGATATCTAAATAACTTCACTATCATTTCGTAAGATGTCACTTACACAAACAAAGTGCGTGGGACACTAGGCTCATGGTCTCATCCCTTTAATGCAGTAGCTCTCAACCTTCTGAATGCTGCGACCCTTTAATACAGTTCCTCATGTTGTGGTGACTCCTAACCATAAAATTATTTTCATTGCTACTTCATAACTAATTCTGCTACTGTTATGACTCGTAATGTAAATATCTGTGGTTCTCCACGGTCTGAGGTGACCCCTGTGAAAGGGTGGAGACCCACAGGGTGAGAACCATGGCTTCCTGGCATTCTTAAACCACAGGTTACGTGAAGCTCCCCTGTTCGATTCTGATTCTGTTGGTCACATCTTCTCCGATCTGAAGACTCACCTGTTTTGTCCGATTTGCTGTTTTGTTTTGTCCAATTTGTCCGATTTATTCTTTCTTAGTCCAGTTTCAGGCCTGGCAGCTGTTACACTCATGCTGGATTCATCTAGCTCCTGCTTCCACAGGGAAGAATTCATGATGAAATCTCCAAGTCATGGCACATTAAACTGTGCTGCTTTTGTCTTTGTTTTTTGTTTTAAATTGAGACAGGGTCTCATATAGCCGAGGCTGACCACAAACTTGCAATGTAACTCAGGGAGACATTGAACCTCTGATCCTCCTACCTCCATCTCCCAATCTCTGGAGTTACAGGCTTGGAACAACTTATTCCTAACCATATCAACTTTTTTTAAAACAGTTTATTCACTTTATTTCCTGACCGTAGCCCCCTCCCTCAATGCTAGTCACAACTTGTTTGTTTGTTTGTTTGTTTGTGTGTTTTGAGAGAGGGTTTCTCTGGATAGCCCTGACTGTACTAAAACTCACCCTGTAAAATAGGCTGGCCTTAAACTCAGAGATCTGCTTGCCTCTGCCTCAGTAGTGCTGGGATTAAAGGCAAACCAATATCTTAGTAGTAGGTCCCATTTCAGAAAACCTTTAATCTATGCACCAAAGAATATAGTCACCAGTTGTGGTGGTGTACGCCGGTAGGATTTGCTGAAGGAGGTAGAGGCAGTAGGATCATGAGTTCAAGGCCAGCCTGGGCTACACGGTTTTAAAACACGTAAACAAAGAACTAAGAAAAAAATGAATACAATCACAGTATTGTGGTTCATTTTGCATTGATTATTCCAGAGAGAGACTCCAACTGTTTAAGGGAGCTAACACTCCTCCCTGTGTCATCTCTGTGTGACACCAGAACATGGCAGACACTGCTGAAAAGAAGAAAGTGCAAGGCCCCTACCCGGCTGTGCTCCAAACTCATCTCCCAGTTTCTACCTATCACAGTGAACCTCAGTTATGCTGGCAAATTGCAATTACTGATGAGCACAGAGGTGGGAGAATCAGCCTGAACCTCACAGGCAGGTTAAACAGCTGTGGAATGACCAGCCCCAGATCTGACGTGTAGTCAAAAGACCTAGACAAATGGCAGCATGATCTGCACGCACCATGTCCATTTGATTTCATCACACTAACGACCTTAGTGGCCTTAAGAAGCGATAGGAAAACACTGAAGGGGGAAGACGCTGGCCTTCTTTTCCTGGAGATACAAAATGTGCACATATAAGTCAAGTGCCTCAATGGACCAACTTCTGAAAACTGGCAACCTTACACTGGAAAAGAATAACAAAACAAACAGGCCGCACTTGATTTGTTTCTCAAGCATCAGGGGTATTTATTTATATTTACTTGTTCTCATTCTGTTTGTTGTTTCTTTTAGACAAAGTATCTATGTAATCCAAGTTGACCTTGAACGTGAGGCCTGCTTGCGTCAGCCACCCTGGTGCTGGGATTACATGTAAGCCTCGTCATCCTCAACAGGAACATTTCCTTGTTGAACAAAATTATCTTCTAAAGAAAGCTCTGACTATTAATATAAAAGCACAGCTGAGCATGATGACGCATACCTTTAATCCCAACACTGGGGAAGGCAGAAAAAGGCAGATCTGAGTTCAAGACCAGGCTGGTCTGCAGAGTGAGTTTCAGGACAGCCAGAGCTACACAGAGAAACCCTGTCTTGAAAAAAAATAAAAAATAAAAAAGCAAAAAAAAAAAATCATAAGCATTAATTTTTAAATTATTTTCTTTTTGTTATTCCCAATTTCAGTCTCTACTGAGCAGCAGGATTATTTTTTGTTGTATTAACGTAATACAGGGTGGTGACACATGCCTGTTATCCTCCAATACTCAGAAGGTTAGAGACATCAGGAATACAAATTCAAGGACAGTCTCTTAATACATCCATATGTACGTATATACATACATACATGCATGCATGCATACATACATACATGCCCAGGGAGATGCCTCAGTGAGTAAAGGCAATTGCCACCAAACCTGCTGATCTGGGGCCTACATGGCAGAGGGAGAGTGTGATTCCCACAAGATGTTCTCTGGCTTTTATGTAGGCACTATGGCATGCACCCTCCTGCTTGAATGCAATCATGTACACATGCATGCAAATAGACACAGAATAAGATAAGTAAATGTAAAAATAAATAAAATTCTGTATCATCCACAAATGTCAGCACTTTTATTAATCATACTGTTGTGGACGTTTTGGTTTATGACATATAAACATGTTTTTGTTATTAATTCCAAGTTGGGATTTTAGTCATCCACGCCTGTGAGCGTGGTCTTTGCCAGATGGAAGTAGTTGAATTCTGAGGACTTTGAGGGGAGGTATAACTATGACAGCCCGGAGAAAGGCAGAGCGGCTGCTTGGAGGAGGGCTGCTTGCTGCTGGTTCATCCTGCTGCTGCATCTGCTGTTTTCAGATTTGCTGGTTACCTGGACTTCTGGATTTTTTGACAACTGATACTGGTATTGCCCCAAAAAGAATCCTAGGACCCTACCCAGTGGGAATTAGCAAAGAGAACTCCATCCCCTGTCCTTACTAACCTTTACAAAGGTTTAAAAAGGAGATGTTTAAGCACCCTAAATAAAGTAGGTTTGATAAAAAAAAAAAAAAATCTAGATCAACAGGTAGAGCCCCCATGTTGGGCGACATTTGTAGGCATACTTTTTTTAATTTAATTTTATTTTATTAATTACACTTTATTCACTTTGTATCCCCCCATAAGCTCCTCCCTCCTCCCCTCCCAGTCCCATGCCCCTCCCCTTTCTGCATGCATGACCCTCCCCAAGTCCACTGATAGGAGGTTCTCCTCTCCTTCCTTCTGATCCTAGTCTATCAGATCTCATCAGGAATGGCTGCATTGTTATCTTCTGTGGCCTGGTAAAGCTGCTCCCCCCTCAGGGGATCAAAGAGCAGGCCAATCAGATTATGTCAGAGGCAGTTAGGCATATTTAAAAAAAAAACACTTGTATTTACATTTCTTTTATCCTTTTCTACCTACTCCACCCCAACACCAGGTAGAAGAGAGAAAGAAGTGGGAAAGGGGGAGCAGTTCTCTTAGCTGCTTCCTGCTGGTTAGGGTCTTAGGGACCCTTGGAGCCAATCCAATCCTCATTTTAGGAGATCTCCAACTTCTTGTCTCACAACAGCAACCAGGAGCAGCAAGAGGGAAGCAGGAGCAGCCTTGTTCTTTCTCCTCTCGTCACACTCTCTGGGCTCTGCTAAGATTTAAACTATTCTGCAGCTGGCAGAGTCTGCCTGAAGCAAATAGCCTGCTGCTGTGGACCATCTGAATCAGTCCCACATCCCACACCTGGGACCAAAACAAAACCACGTTTGTATCCGAAACATACTGTCTTAACAATGCATGCCCTCAATTCTTCCCCAACGACACAAAATTGCTTTGCATCGTTATTATGTAATTTTTAGATAGTGAAGCAAAATGCTTTCCAAATTTTGCACAGGAACAGGCCACTGTCGTTTGCATACTTATAATCAATCACATAGCTTACAGATGTGCCCCAAAAGGGTGAGAAATTCTCTTAAAAGTCACTCTATTTAGACTGTCAATAAGTATACAGACATCCTAAATAGACAGAAATTTGTTTATGATAAATATTAACACCGTTGCCTTGCCGGCAATGATCTGAAGGGCTGGAAATCTAACCCATTTGTTTATTTATGTATCTGTGTTCAATAACATTACTTGATTAGCTGCTGTGTAGAAATGATCTCATGTGATTTTAATTTGCATTTCTTTCATGCCTAATCATGCTGAACATCTCAGGTCTTATTTGTCACTGGTCTCTCCTCTTATTTGCATTCTAATTGTTTATCTTTTTGCTGTTGGTATTTAAACTTTATTTAGATATTAGCCAGCCTTTCGCTGCATTTGTGAG